TTTATTTTTTTCTTTGAAACCTAATTGATGAAATTATTACTAATGCTCTATAACAATAAAGTATCTTCTATGCTATATATGTACGTACAAGATGTATATGATTATACGGAGTATTTAAATAGGTTATTTATGATGTAAGTGGGCTACGCTGGACGGATCCAGGGGCGGGCTGACCCAGGCCATGGCCCGCCCTATGCCCATAAACATTAGAGTTATATATTAAATTGTTGTCATCTTATACTGATAGATTAGTTCGCTGAGTCGGTTTCTAATTGGTATTCAGCATTTAGACTCTTAATGCAGGAGGTAGTAGTGGGTTCGATACCCATAAGTAACAATTTTTTGTGGTTTTTACAATTTTATGTAGGAGAAAAAAAAATTATTGTTACTTCATACGGCTTGCCCTATACAAAATTTCTAGATCCGTCTTTGGCTATGCATAGGGAAATCAGGCATATAAATGATGCACGTATTGTCAAGGATTTTTGCCTCTACTCGACGCTGACATTTCCATGAAAATTGGGGAATTTGATTTGGCTCTTCATTCTTATTTACACACTTTCTCTTTCCATCCACCCTTTTCTGTGTGCATGTGAACATGGACTTGGACATAGCTGGCTATACATCAGTGATATGACACCAAGAGCCATTTATGGATGGGGTAATTTGGCTACTACAAATAGTCTCATGAAGTCAAACTTGGACTCTAACTATCAACTTTAATTTATGGATGAGTTCGTAATCTGACATGATTGTTAAAGGACCAACTCAACTAAACGCTTAAACTGATAGTTGAAACCACGTGGGAGGTGGATGAGCCCTTTTTATTTGTCATGCTTGCTCTAATACCGTGTTAAAGGGCCAACTTAATTAAAAGCTTAATTTGATGGTTGAAGCCCAGGATCAATTTATATAATCTATCAATGATACCAAGAGCCAACATGATAAACAGGTGACGAACACAATCTCATCACCCCTCCTTTCAAAATGGAATATTTTAATTATCAAGTTTACCTTTTTAGTTGAGTCGGCCCTCTAAAACCTATAATTTGCTTATAATAGTCATATTACTCATATTCATGCATCGCTTGTATCCTAGTTAGCGCCATGATGATTTTTTGGCGATCTTTCTTTTAAAGACAACAATAGACTGAAAATTTGTGACTAGACCTAAAGAAATCAATTGAGTTAGTTGTTAAATACATTTCTCAATTGTATTATTTAATGTTGTTGTTGCTAATTGTGGGGAGTTACGTACCCTAGAGAGGCTAAATCTCTTTTCACATTGAAAATACTTTGCAAATGATCGATGATTTATTAAAGGGGGTTTATTCCATTTGAAGAGGGATACGTGGGGGAGGGGGTGGGGCAATGGGCTTCTTAGATGAAACTAATTAAACAAAAACGAAGTTATTACTCGTATGCACATAACATTCCATAAATGAAGTATGAAACATCCGGTGTCCCTATATAAAGGGCGTGAGAACGATATATACTTGTTATAAACTCAATATATAGACCCACACAATATATAGACCCAAGAATGTGATAGTGTGACCTTATCGTCGGACAAAAGAAATTGAAGGTAATAAAATTAGAAGAAGTTAGGAAAAATCCATAATAAAATGATGAAAAAGCAATAGGAAAAAGATCAAATAAGAAATAAGAGAAACAAAGATAGAGTTGATAATTAGGGAGGCTTGTTAGTAATACCCCCGTGAGAAATGTTTGGAGGCATTGACAGCTAAATAGGAAGCTTTGACAGCTTCTTCTCACTCTCTAAAACTAGGTCGGATCACGAGTAGATTCTTTTTTGTATGTGTGCATGCTCATTTTTGTATATATTTGCCTTCATGCAAATTTAGTTTTGTTTTTATACTTCCATCACATCCTCCCGTTTGCCCCACGTACGCCCATTCAATTATCGCATATAGTTGATATAGAGACGTAGTGTTATAAAATTTCACTAACTAAGCGAGTTGATATCTGCTAAGGATGAGGATATTAATAGCTGGATAACTCCCTAAGAATTTAACTTTTGTATATATATCAACCTATATGCATTATTTGACACAAATTAATTATCTTATATGAACTTATTAGCCCTTAACCGAAATTATATGGCTTTATTTTTTCTGAAATAAGGTAAGTTCGACATAATAAGGCCATAATTTTCAAATTGTAACTATTTGTTGCTAGATTAGTTAATTTTGTCTGATAAATTGGGTACTAGTGAATATTGCTAAATCTAGTCAATTAGAAACTGTTGTATTGATATCAGTAATAACATCTCAAAACTTACTCTAGATAATTAGTGATCAATTAGCATGCAAATCAATCATTTCAATAACATTTATTTCCCTTCTTTTGTTCGATGTAATCATGAGTGCAAGCTGGAATGCCATGACATTTTGTGATTGGAGACTATAATACACACAGGAAACATGATGGATATCGAAAGCATTACAAAGCTATCTTGTCCAACTTACACATATTTGATTAACCCAGCATCCAGTTCTATGTTCATCGTCACTACCTCCGTTTTTTTTTTTTTTTTTTTTTTTTTTTTTGACATGTATTTTCTTTTTCTTTTTTTGGTACGAAGAAGTTTCTTGTTAGTTGACAAGTTTTATATGATGTATGTTGTTAACATTTAAATTTTATATTTTTTTTCACTTTGTGTATTACTAACATTCTTGTTTTACCCACTTGCTCTTGTCCTTTTGTCCCTTTCCTTACAACAATGTCTATATTTAATTAGAGTTGTCAAAAATTGACCCAATCAACTCGATCTAAAAAAGTTCGATTTGGATTTCGACTCGTATGGACATAATAATTTAACACGACACATATTGCCCCGTCCTAATTGAACCCAAACAAGTTACACCTCTATATCTAATAATGAGCGAATTAGTAATAATGGGAGGAAGTAGTATTTTAGGTTAAACGTAGTTGATGCTAATGCAATCTATATATAGTTATGTCGCAAGTAAAAAATGACACTCAAATTGAGGGCAATGCATGATTGCATGCCCACTTTCATAGATAAATCGGGGAGGATCGGAACTATCATTTCACTTTATGTGATATAAACTCTCACTTACGTGCGAGACTAATGATATGTTTAATTCACCTTATTTTACGATTTTATTACTAACTAGTTTAGACCATATTAGAAAAAAATAAGTTTTTATTAGTTTAGATCAATTCAGACCAGATAAGCAAAAAGGTAAACTAAACAGGGCCTAAGAATGAAGTAATTTTGGTACATGCCACATATGACATGAGTTAATACGACTTTAATCTTATCTTTGTTAGAGTTAAAAATGACTTAAAGCCTATAAATAATCAACTTTTGCAAGTCATCAATGTTCATTCTTTACTAGTAAAGCTTCAAGTATTGGAAATTTTTTCTTTGGTCGTTGAATTTAATATGACTCTCAAGTCTATTTTCAAGCATCGCGGCGGTTTAATCTATATGAGTGGCCCCTTATGTTTTCATTTATTATCCATTAGATTAGATTATAGAAGGATTAAGTTTAAGAAATAATTTTGTTGGTTGATTCCAAATAAAGCTGGTAAAATGATTTATATTTACATTGTCAATTGATGAATGGCAAAACTTTATTGTGACAGAATGAATTGAAGTGTAATTTTCTAAGGATATTATTTTTTAATTGTCCATAGATGGATGATGCAACATCACCTTCAAACTAGGTTTTCCAATAGATTTTATTTATAACCTTCATGCTAAAATCGTCTTTTAAATGTTAATAATGGATGGTAATAATGAAGACTTATAACAAAAAAGAGATAGTTTAAGGTAGATTATTATTGTTGTGGACATTAACATAAGACTTTCATCATAAACTTGCATGAAAATTCATTCTAATTACCACCACTTCTTATTGATGCATATAATATATATATATACCATACATGTCGTGAAAGAAATTTACATCCCTTTAACTTATACCTAGCGAAGAGTTGTTAGTTTGTTTTTTTTTCTACTTGTTTTATCTTATTTTATCTTATTTCAAACAATGGATAGATTAAGATAGTTCAAACAAGTTCTAACAAAATAAGTTCAAAGTTCATATTATATAATTTTAGACAAAACCAGTTGAAGCTTCTAATGTAGTCGTCGACTATACAGTGCCTTAGTAACACTTTCTTCCTTTTGTTTTCCTTTATTAGATGATTAATCTTTCTGTATATATTATATAGTTCAAAGTTCATATTATATAATTTTAGACAAAACCAGTTGAAGCTTCTAGTGTAGGCGTTTTGATCAGCTTTCTTTAGATTTTGTAGTGCATGGTCAAATCTCATCAAAAAAGGTTGAGAAATTTTTGTTTAAAGTGTTTAGGGATCTCAGATATCTTATATATGGAATTTGCCTAATCAATTACTATCATTTATGACTCGCTGTACATCCAAGTAGAAGAACTAAGATTATTAAATATATAATGGAGACCTTTAGCAAGCTAATAAGGATTCTTTAGCTTAAGAGAGGTAGGAGTTTGAGCCTTAAATAATATATGGCAACATATTTTTTTGAGTACCAATACTATGGAGAATTGGAGATGGCCAATGTTTAGGTTAGCCTAGCTAGGCACACTTGACCTTGACCGATTTGAACTGGTCCACCTAGTTAGTAGGTGGATCCGTTTTCTTACTTCTTATTAACCAGTCTAAGTCAAACCATTTAATCTTATACCTAGTAATCTTTAATGATTGATTATAATTAAAAAGTTTTAGCTCAGTTAGGCCCATCCTGGGCCACCCTACACGGAGACATTTGTAGATAATTTACAATATATAATTACGAAGTACGAGTACTTATTTAACCATTCTATATATGTAGTATAGTCTAAAATATGTAGTTGCACTTGCACAGTAATATATGATATATGTGGTCTACCACCCCCATGATATGCAGCAGCAGCAGACAAACTACAAAAGAGACTGAATTTATATATAAGGCTCTCTTACCTTCCCACTTTATCAGGGCAACCCAAATAGACAGAGAGAGATCCATCATTTTATTTGTTGGATCACTTCCAAACACATACTATACAAGTAGCTACTCACTACTCACTAGAGAAAGACAAACAAATCGATCGATCGATCGTTCGATTGATCTAGAGCTATAATCATGTCATCATCTAAAGATAAAAAGAGGGCTGCTGCTTTGCAAGAGAAATACCAGCTCCTCCGTTCAGTCACCAACTCAAACGCCGTATGTTTATTATGTTCATTGTTATTCTTTTTTCCTATCATCTAAGCTAGCTCCGATCCTTTAATATGTTGTTTCTCGATCTCTGATCTTTTTTTTCGATCTATATTGTTTTGTTTCGGGTTATTGTATGCAGGCGAACACGGCTTCTATATTAGTAGATGCATCTAAACACATTCAAGAGTTGAAGGAAAAGATTGAAAGGCTTAATCAAGACATCAGTGGTTGTGGTAGTAGTAGCACTAGTCCATGTCCTAAGGTATTTACACTTTTTTTTTTTTTTTTTGTGCGTGTATTTTTTTTTTAAAAGGGGTTCCTTTTTTTGAGTTTGTGTAACTTAGTAATATTACAAGTTTAAATCTACATTTCCAAAATATTTTAGCTATCTTATTTTGATTCAAGTGAAAAAAAAAAAAAAAAAAAAACTCCATAACATATAAACAACAAATAGTTAAAACACAAAACATTTATTGACATTTATTTTTATTTATCTTTTCATCAAGTGTTTTTGTGAAATGCGCCAAAAAAATTGGAATTGAAATTGAAGCTTTGAAGAGAGCACAAAGTTCTTAATGAAGACAAAAAAAAAAAAAATGTGTAAAGTTTATTTGTCTAATTATTGCTGTTGTATTTTCTATGTTTGGGCTGATTTCTTAGTCATAATTTGGTGACATTTTACTTGAACTTTATATTAGGTCTATCAAATAAATAAAAGGTTTACTCTTAGTACTGCGTTGTTAGAATAAATAAATTAATAAAATTAAATGATGGTTTATTAGCTCTTATCTAAATAATTAAATATAACACTCCTACTTAAACTTATCATTATTTATCAAGAAATTTTTACTTCAAAAAACATCGATCTTGGCATGACTTTATTTGCATAATCTTTTGATCTCCATTTTTTTTTTTTTTTGTCTAATGAATTGGTAGATATTCCTTATTATTACTATATTCTTTACATGTGTATAATATATCCCTTAATATTTTGGGTATAGAAGTTCAATAGGTTTTTTTCCTTGGCAATCTAGAGCATTTAGTCACATTTTTTCAAAAGGTGTAATAACTATTTTAATACATAATTAAATCAAAATACATTTTGAAATCTCAAGAAAAAAAATTCTGTGGCTATCTTTTGTTAAATACAACTGTGAGTACATTGTTCAAATTGAAAATGAAGATGAACAATAAGAGATTTACACAATAATGGGCTTTCAAGCTTTAATTGACCGCACCAAATGGTCGCTAAAACACGAAAATTGATCAATAAATATCCACAAATGTAATTTTTACTTATGTATCCCTTTGACCTAGTTTTTAAACAACTAAAGTGATGTAGATCGATAGTGTATACGGAGGCTATTAAGTGTTATATGACCATTATATTTAATTAGTACCTATGAATGTAAGAAATATAATCATATGTTGTTTCACAAAAAAAAAAAAAAAAAAAAAAAAAAAAAAAAAAAAAAAAAAAAAAAAAAAAAAATCATATGTTATGTTGATCAATCTTCACTAGCAACTTAGTTACTATAATGTACAAATGTTGATAATCATGATAGATATATTTACGTGTTATTTCTCGACTTTCAGGTTAGCGTACGAACCCTAGAAAAAGGGTTTCTAGTGAATGTGTTCTCAGAAAGAAGTTGCCCTGGCTTGCTGGTCTCCATACTTGAAGCCTTCGAAGAGCTCGGACTCGAAGTTCTGGATGCTAAAGCTTCATGTACTGATCGCTTTGAGCTTGAAGCTGTTGGTGAGGAGGTATGTATTTCTACTACCATTACAAAAATAATTTTGGTTTTGGTGTTTGTGTGATGAGGAAAAATAAATCTAAAATCTGTGCATTTCCTTTAAATTATATCTTCTCAGAATTTAGAGTATAACTTGTACATAGACTTATACTTCCTAAATATTCTTTTGATAGTTTAACCTCTCGCAATTAGGGATATATAGATGAGTCATATGGCAATATTTTTAGGAAATCTCTTTTAAGGAGTATAATACAATGTGCAACTTATGTTATTATGATATGCTTTTCAAAAAGTAATGATATTTGAGTAAGATCCTATTGTCTTTCACAATAAAAATATATTTTGATTGGTAAAATTAGAAACCTCATGAAAAAAAATACAGTATTAGTAATAATGTAGTAGTAAAATAAGTTAATCAATATGATTGTAATAAGTTTTAAATTCTAGAATAGGTTTTAGTCCTAAAAACAAATTTAGTTAAATATAAACGTGGAAAGGAAACTTTGGTTTAAGACGTCATAGAAATTAATCTAATAAGTACTTGTTACTTTAAACACATTCGGAATTGCATTGGCATAGAGTGACTTTTAAGAAGATTTAAAACCTTAACACCTCTTCAACGAACTACTCTAGTTAGTGTTTATGTTGTTTTAGTTACTTTTAGTTTCATTGTCGCTTATTGTATTGTCTTTAATAATCTCTCTTTAAAACACATGTCAAAAGATGTTATATATACCTTTAATAGTATCAATATTTTTCAAAATACCAATACACAACCTCTCCTAAATATTAAAATAATTTTATATCGAGTACCGTATATGAGTATATAATATGTAAGTATACCTACTTACTTTAAATCTAAAATAATGTAACTACATATATATATGGTACGAAGTACATATAATTAAGTTGGTTCTACATGGTATTGTGGTAATTAACTCATATCCATATCCATATCCACGTCCACATCCACACCATGCGTTGTTACAACTTTAATTTAATTTTGTGTTCAATTAGAGACACTAACTAAAAATTAACACAGAGTAAAAAAGAAAAAAGAAAAAAAAAAAAAAAAAAGTTACAAACATGATAGATCGTACCCCATCATCTTGATGTCGTCATCATAAAGTCGTCATCATCAACATCGCCATGATATATGTCAGCATTTGACCATTTAACGTTAAAGTGATCTAAATGTGAATTCATATCAGCGTTTTAATCTTTACATAGATAATAATTAACTTTTATTGTTTTTATTGAAACAATCACTTGATTGAACTACAGTTCTAACGTTTAAATTTACTTGCACTATCACGCAACAAATATTAATTTTGAATCTTTACATGTACTTAATTAAAGAAGTTCCCTTAATTTTTGTTTTCATTGTTTTAACACAACTATATTGCATGCATCGCAGAATGGAGTAGATAGCTTGGATGCTCAAGTAGTAAGGCAAGCAGTGTTACAAGCGATCAGAAATTGGAGTGAGAGTACATAGACGATGTACGTAGAGTAATGCGTATAACGTACTTACTCTACATGTCAAAAATTGTTGTGTATTTTGGCATAGCAATAGGCTCATTTGATTATTTTGCGTAATGACAAGTTTCGTTGCGATGCCTTAGCTCTCACTTCGTCATGAAAGTTATGCAGATCTATCGTAGGTAAAGTAGGCCTAGTTATTGAACGGGTTGGAAATTTTCATGAATCCATTGTTGTCCCTCCCGCGGTTAGCTTGAAATTAAGCTAAGTGTACCATTACATTACGATGTTTTAGTAATAAATACTAGTTGGTACTTGCTAATCAAGTGAATGCATGCCACCAGTGAGGCAGTGACTTAACTCTATGATTTGCTCTTAAGCCTCTCATTTGTTCGATCAACTTATTAGAACTAAAAAGTTTAAGGTGTTTAGGAAGTCTGGTTTCCTACACCTATTAGGATGTTATGTTACTATTATCGTATAAGTTGCCTGGCCTATTTATGAATGATGATCAACAATAATGAGAGATTATGCGAGTAAATTAAACCTTTACTATGTACTCTCTTCATTCTATAATAATTAACACTACCAAATTTGACAAACTTATCAATGCATGCATGCACTATTTTGACCCTAAAAATAAGTAATTAAATGTTAGTAAAAAATAAGGTTGATGTTATGAAACTTTATATCAATTTCTATTTAACTAACCTTTTACATGATAATTTTTATTTATATATTTTATAATATGCTGATAAAAATCATGGTCAAAGTTCATTTGCGAATAGTGAAAAATGTCAAAGTGATGTGTCAATTGTAATACATTATTAAAATAAAAAAATAATTAAAAAAAAAAAAAAGGTCAAGGCCTCAGTTGGTTGAGGTAGGAAATAAATTTCTATGCGAGCTCCTAATGCATGAAAAATTAATTTTGTTATAAAATTTCTAGGAATTAAAATAACGTGTTTTAATTTGTTGTCATGTGAGAATTTATAAATCCTAGAAATTGTAAATGATTAAGGGTGTGGGGTGGGTGAATAACTTTCCATGTTTTGTTGGAAATTGTATTTTCCTGAATTATGACTTCCTCCATTTTTACGTGTTAATGTCAACCAACCAACATGACCAAAAGAAATTTCATGGGAAATTTGAGTGCCTACTGAAATTAAGGGCAACCAAACAATACGCAAGTGTGTAAATTATTACGGAGGAAGTATTTATTTAGAAATGGTCGAATAAAATAAATGGTGCATTAATACATACTCCTTTCGTGTTTTAATGAATGTAATACTTTGATCGGTACATAATTTTAGGCAATTTAATTGACTCAAATAAAATAAGAGGTAAATGAAGTAGTTGGAGTATTAAAAAATTATACAAGAAAGATAGTGGGTTTAATAATTTATTAAAAAGTAATGAATGTGAGAGGAAAGAGATAATAATAATAAAAAAAAATATATAAAAAAAATAGTAATGGGTTTAGGTGGGGATCATGTATGAAAGGAAAAATATATACTCCCTCCATCCCTTAAAGATAGACCCTTTTGGCCAAATTTTAGTCCCAAAAAGTTCACCCCATTTGCTATTTCCAACAACCATTAATATTAATTTTTTACCAAAATTCTCTCCAATTTGCAACAATATTTGTGCAAATTTAGCTTCCCCATGTTAATTTTGCATCTACTACATATATACTTTTATTACTTTCTCTCTCTACTTTTTTGCATACCCCAAGTAAATTTACATTTTCAATTTACTTTTACTACTTATTTAAGTTTCTTAATTCCTGTGAAATTCCATCAAAAAGGACTATCATTAAGGAACGAAGGGAGTAATATTTAAATTTAGTTTTTTGTCAAAAGAAAGTGTAACACTTATTAAAACACGGAGGGAGTAGTATAAGATCCAAAGGAATATACTTTCTCTGTTTTTTTTTAATATATGCAATAATTTGACTTTACACTATTCATATGTTCCACTTTAAATAGCTTTGATGATTTATAGCTAAGCAAAATAATAGTAATGTGAGATCTTATTATATTCGTCTCGAGTTATACTCCCTCTATCCCATAATATATGGGACATTGGACTTTTTTTACTATTCATGTATTAGTTTTGACCATAATTTTTTACTAACATAATAAAAAAAAACATATTTTATCATAAAATATGTTGTTAGATAAATATTAATATAAAGTTGCATAATACAAGTTTTTCTAAAAAAATTCATTAATATTTAATAATATTTATTAATATTTAATTATATAAAAATAAAGTCAAATTAGTGTATTGGCATGTGTACAATATTGACTGTGTCAGATATTATGGGACGAAGTGAGTACTAATTTAATATCATATGTTTATAACTTTACATATTGATAATTAAAGATATTCACGATGAAAATAATGTATAATAAGTGTGAAAAGAAAAGTGTTACAAATATAAAAAAAAAACATAGGAAGTATATGTTATACTCCAAAGTTGTAATATCTTCATAAGCAAACAAACCCTTGTTAGATAAATGAAATGAATATGGATAATAAACAATGGGCCTTAATATATATGTTATTCCTTGCAGCTTCCGGTCCAGGTATTTGCTCCCGCAATGGGATTACTATCAAATTGGGTCAGTGACTCAGGTTCAAATACGTTATGGTCTCATGGACGGGTTCGGTCATCTTTAATTTGGATAATGTTTGGTTCAGTATTTTCATTTGGTTCAAAACAGCCTGGTTTAGGTCACTTCTAATTTGGGTGAAACTGGATAAATCCTTACCTTTTTTTTTTAAGATATGAGTAAACTCTTATTAATAATGCTGAGACTATTATGCCTCTAAAAATATTTATTTACATATTTACCTCCTTTTAAAAATGTATTTACCCTTTTAAAAGTATGACCACATTTTATGAATAGTGTTGAGACGATTATGTACCTAAACTATTTATTTACTCCATATTTGCCCTTATTAATTAACATTAATTGTTTTTTTTAATCTTAAGAATAGTGTGTGGATATTTATACGCCTAGCCTAATTAGCGCTAATTACAACGTCAAACCGAAAGAACTAGCTACCCTATTTATTAGAAATAAGTTCTACTCTCTCTCTCTCTCTCTCTCTCTCCTATATATATATATATATATATATATATATATATATATATATATATATATATATATATATATATATATATATATATATATATATATATATATATATATATATATATATATATATATATATATATACATATATATATATATATAAGCTACAGTTGGATTAAAAATTATGAAAAAATTAATTTATAAAAGTAGACATTATGACAAATCCAACAACATATTATATGATCATATTTATATATTGGTAAAAAAATTAAGTCAATGATGACATATGAATAATGAAAAATCCCAACTCTAGCTTATAAATAAAAATGGATGGAGTATTAAATTTTGGTACGGGTTTTATTTAGTTCAGGATACTCATGGTATGACTTGAGTTAATATTGGACATTTGAACTGGAACAGGCTTGTATGTTGTATCGTTATATTTTTGAGCTCGATTCAAATTTAGTTCAATTGAATAGGAATACTCCCTCCGTATTTTTATAGTTGCAACAGTTTCACTTTTACATTATTCATGTGTTTCACTTTGACTAGCTTTAATGATTTATACTTTAGTAAAAATATATTCATGTAGGATCTTGTTAGATTCGCCTCAATTTATACTATTTTAAGACCATATGTTTATAATTTTTACATATTGGTAATTCAATATATTAACGACTGAAATCATGCATCGGCAATCGTGAAAAGAGAACGAAGTGTTGCAACTACAAAGAAGCAGAGGAAGTATATATCAAGTTTGGATGAACTTTTGACCAAATTACTATGGGTTCAGATCAATTTCATATTGTATAGGCCTTGAATATTGGTCAGGTGTAATAATTATTAAAACACGGAGGGAGTATTGATTTTTTTTAAGTGTTGCAGTTTATTTTGGCACTATTTGTACTACCTTTGTTACTTTTTAATTGCAACAAAGGGGTATTTTTTGTGAGATATAAATAATTTCCTTTGTTGCAACTAAAAAATAATGGCAGAATTTTAAGTATATATAAACTTTAGCTTGAAAGGTACTCATAATGTAACATTTGGATGAAAATTTTGAACTATTTGGTCTTTGAAAATATACACTAAGGGTCTTACTAATTACTGTCGTCATGTTGGGAGTTTTTGCAAATCTACCTACAAAAAAGGGATAGCATGAAGTATTTGCTTAATCAAGCAATAATATCTCAGGTGTACCATATCTAAATCAAAATATACTTACTAAATAGTATTGATGAACCCTAGAGTGAAAAAAGGGAGAGAAATCTAGGAGATAGGGTGGTGATCGACTAGGGTTTTACATCTTAATCAACATATACTTAAGAAAAAATTTATAAACCCTAGAGTGAAAAAAGGGAGAGAGATCAAGGAAATAGGGTGGTGGCTAGGATTTTATAACTTAATCAACATATTTAATTAATGCACAATAGTTTCCTCGAGCGGGAAAATAAAGCGTTATAAAGTTAAAATTTCTTCACGTGGACATGCATTATATTGTATTTATTTTACCATTGCACATGTTAAATTTAACCTAGTAAGTCATACTGATCACGCAAACAACACTTCTCTTATCTATTGTTTTATAATTTTAGTTGACTTTCTAGTTTTCCTTGACTCTCTTGCACACTACAAGAAATGAGTCGAATACTGATGGTCAAAAACTATCTGTAAACATACCAAAAACTATTGGCCAACGGAAAACCATTCATCGGAAAAATAAGAAATACCAATGAAAAAGCCATCGATAAAAGTGATACCGTTGGTTTTACTGATGGCAAAACAACGTCGTATTTTTTTTAAATACTGATGGCAAAAGCCAACAATATTTTATACGGATGTCAAAAAGTTATCGGTATTTTCGGTTACCGATGGTCTTTAGCCATCGGAAAACTGTAATAAAAATAAAAAATTATAATACCCCCCTGCCCCTGCCCCCCTACCCCATACCCCCTAACAGCCTCCCACCTCCACCTAAACCACTACCACTACCTACCACCACCTACCTTTTCACATCCCACCACCAGCCAC